TTTGATGTACACGTAAGGGTACACTTTCCATGGTTTGTTGTGTATGTAAAGGTACGCTTTGCATGGTTTGTTGTACAAATTGGTGTTCATTTTAATCTTGAACAGATGACTTGAGTCTAACTAATGTTATATGGTTTCTGATGTAATTTAGAACTACAAGCTATTAAAGGAGTCAAGACACAACGGCTGGACGGTATCAGATAAGAACATAACATTTTGTTGAATAAAAGCACAACACAACATTTACGCATGGTTAACAATTCGCGAATCTCCATCCTAATTCTTCGACAGAACAAATTTTGATTAGCTTTCGAAAAGATAGTTCAAGTTGTTGTGTTTTTTTCAACATGTATGTATGCTTGACAAAAAATGTATCGTCTACTGAGACTGCTGTGGCAATTGAACTTTACCATGGCAGAAAAAAGCAAAGTTGTGAATGCAATCTTCTACGATGTTGAACGATAAAATTGCGTCAATGCAGCAATACTGTACACGCAAAAAAAATTATGTTATATTGCAGCACGTTATATTCAGAGAAAAATTTCTCCCGGAGCAACTGTGTGCAGTCACTTTGAGTGTAGTGTGCAATGTTAAGTGTAGGAACCGTTCCAAATGTAGAAGGGAGGAAAAATCTGACTTGTTAAAGTTATTAGTAGTTTTTAGTACCAAATGGGAATCAAGCTTTAGAGAGTTTGTTTCCACTAGCTGAAAATTTTGTACATTTTTCCAAAAAATTTAGCATGGTTTGGATTCTTGTTATTTTTCTAGTGTTACACTGAAGGCTGCTTGAAGCATATGGAGTTGCTGGTCCGAACAAGAAGTTGGCATTCCACTATTCAACGTGGCTTCAATTCTTTCCGTTTTTCTGGTGTTACTTGGGTACTTAGAGCGTATGGATTTCCTAAACTTATGTAAAGTTTTGATTCTCGTTTATGATACATAGCGTTCCCAAGTCGCAGTTGGGTATTGTTTCTAAGTTTGTAAGAGATTTTTCGATCAAAATTTTATCTGTTGTCAACATTTCTGATTATGTTCTTCCTAAAATGAATTTCTGTCTGCGGAAACTGATCATTCAGTTTATCAACTTGCTGCTTTATCTACAAAAAATGCTAAACGATCATACGAGGCAGCTACATGGCAGTTTTGAATATCATATGACTTTTACAATGTTTTATTGAATTGTTAATTTCAGGGAATTTGATTGGTAGTCTTGACTGTCATTATGGATTTACCTGCAAGCATTGGCTCATAGATCCTGCCAATAGAGATTTTATCTCGTTTCAGAGGAAGAGAGTTTTAGAGAAAAGTCGCATTAAAAAGTAAGCATGTATTTTTTCTTTTTCTAAATACCATTGTTAGAAAAAACTGTTAGATATGTTTGAATTTGATCTATGAAGTGTATAGTCTGAAGAGATTTTTCATTTGTCTTACCGTTGGTTAGTCTATTTCGTTTGATTTGTTACAATACTGTTCAAAATTTCTTTTTTATCAACTAAAAATGTCTAATAGAAAACGAAGTGCCTGTACATATCTTCTGTACATTTCATCACCTTGATGAATGGTGCAAAATTTAACATTACGTCGTTCATAATAATTTGATGGTTGTACACACCATAAAAATCTTGATATCGTACACACATAAGAATATAGAAGCTCTCTGCTTTGCTTGCAGCAATTATTTGTAAACGTTTTTTTTTATTGTAGCAAGAGTTGGAGTTTCTGGTTAACCTAATGTACCATTTGATAATAAAACTTTTACAAACTAAATGACAAATAGTAAAATTGATAGAAAAGTTTACAAAGTTAGTCAGAATTGCTGCAGTACATAACACACCTTCCTTGCTCTTCTAGCAACATTGAAATTATTGAAATAGCATAATATTTGAAAACATTTATTCGTTCTAAAAATTAGGAACTGAGTACTCTAGCTACATGCCGTTAAAGTAACTAAAAAATACATCGTCTTCAATATTTTGAAAGTATGTTATAACTTATAACGAACTAATGATTCTTACTGTTAAAATGTATGAGGAAATTTTCTTGTCTGTTTTATGTTCCTGCGTTCTAAACAAAGTTTGAAAACATCTCATGTTAAGCTTTTTTGCATCGGGATTCTAGTTTTTTCTATTCTGACAGTAATACTTGTAAATTTTCCATATATTTATTCACACTACACAGCGCGCTGAGATAATACTCAAAAAAATCTTTTTATTAGTGTATTTCCTGCTGTGATCTTTTTAAATAGACCATATTGCAAAACAGAAATTCGACACAGAATCCAGAGCAAAGTAATTTATGATCCCATGTATATGATTGGTCAATTTTTAGTCTTATTTATGTCTTATCGTATGGAAGTTTCATCGTAGTTAATGTTGGTGCACCAAAGTTATCAATTATATTTTTATGATATTTAGAAGCAAATCATGACGACAACTTCCATAAACTTCTAGACAAAAGTAAGAATATTAAAGCTGACGTTCACAAGGCTCTCCAAAGGTAATTTTTCTTTCATGGGATATCGATTATGTATGTTGACCTGTGCATGTCGGAACATTACGAAAAATAGTTTTTAGACAATATATAGTTATCGTTTCTTGTTTAAGTTGTTCGTGGATTAGTGGGAAGTATGGAATAGCTCGCCCAAACAAGAAGATGCCGTTTCCTCATTTGTATGTCACAGTTGATTTTGAGAAAGAAAATTCGGAGGATGCTATCAAAAATGAGATCGATGAAAAGTTAAAATGGAAAGTATCGAATTACATCGAATTACCATCTAAACCATTGAAAGAAGCAAAGTTTCGAATGCTGTCTAAAATTATAGCGGAAAGAACCGAGGGTAGTTTTGGAACATTGACAATGTTCTGCCTTAAGAATGATATGTACTATGCCTTGACCTGTGCTCATGCGGGTGTTGTCAATAATTGGGATGACCGTCAACAAGACTTTTGTGGCGGAGTCCAATTTATGGAAATCCAAGAAACTCTAAATGCCACAGTTAACGAAGAAAGCATGGAATACTTTTACAATGGACAACCGATTGTCCGTGTTCCGGATCAAACGAGAGTGGTGTCTAATGAAGAAGTCGATATTATGTACATCGTCATTGGTAGGGAGGAAGATTTTCAGGAGCTTGCTGTAAATAATCAGATGACTCTCAATTTAGATTTGGATATGCAGTGCAATACAGGCCCTCACCACCTGCATTGCATGTGAAACATCCAACTCCAATGTTCTCAAAAGACATCTGAATCGACTATACATCAATCCAAATGCATTTTCGACAATTCTTCTTTCTCGTGAAAGTCTATAGTTAAAAACTTTCTCATCACCTATTGCACTCCGGTGTGGATATGGTTTCATTAGATTTTCATTCAAGGCAAATGCCTCATCTCCAAGCAGAAAGTAAGGTATAGGCAATAATGTATCTCTTAGTTCTTCAGCTTGTGGGAAATAGCATGTCTTGCATATGTTTTTAAGGTGACTGTCTTTAAAAATTCCTCCATCTGACTGGTTGCCAGGGGCTCCAAGATCAAATGAGATGAATTTAGCATTTGCATCTGCAATAGCCAAGAGGACTATGCTAAAATGTTTTTTATAGTTAAAAAACTCAGAGGCTGAGTTTGGAGGTGCCTCAAGTTGATATGTTTACCATCAATGGCCCCAACTGCATGGGAAAGTGCCATTTGCATATAAATTCATCAGCAATGTGTAACCATTGTTTCTTTGTTGTGGGTGGCTTTAAATATTCTTCCTTCAGCACATTATACAAAGCTTCACAGACCTCAGATGTACAATTTTTGAAATAGATGAAACTGATATTCTGAAACTGTATATCAAATCTTTGTATGAGCATCCTGATGCTAAGAACTTTAATGTTACACACAAGCGATCATGAACAGATATAGCATCTCTCACAGTGGTGTTTTTCTTTGCAATGAATGGTGTTAACTTTTCACATAGCTCATCAAACAAAATGGAATCCATCCTTAAAAGTAGTAAAGATTATAATTTGTAAATAAAAGTAAAGAAAATAAGAAAATTTCATTATTAAAAAAAGAACGTAAAATTTGAATTGATTGTACAATCCACTGACTAGCTTAATTTTGAAGAGTGCATGAATAAAAAGACTATTACATTTCCTAACTTACCGAAACAAATTTCTAAATTCATCATGGTCAGTCACTCGGATCTCTTGAATTAAATTTTGTGCCAACCCTTGTGCGTATCGGCGCTGTCACCGATTTTACCCATCATCGTCGTGACTTTCGTTTTTTTTTTCACTTCGTGCACCATTAGAGATGTAATTATAGCTACTGCTTGAAGTATTTCTACCTTGGTCAGCGGCATTTTTGCACAAACATTGCACAAGCAGAAATCAGAAATAGCAAAAGCGTGTCACTTTTTCAAAAGAAAATTGCTGCTTGCATTTTATGATTTAGTTTAACATGTAACTGATGGAATAAACTAAACTCTGTAAATATTTAAACTTCTCTTCTGTAGATAATTTATTTCTTAGTAAATTTTGTAATTGTTTTTGAACAAAAGCACGCCCCTTGTGGAAATCAACCCCAGTTGACAAGGCCAGCGTGTCAAAATAAAGATTTTCATTCATTCATTCATTCATTAAAAGTACGTCGTAAAATGAAGTATGGACATGTAACTGTTCATTATTACAATGGGCGCAATACATCAATCGCCATGCGAACAGGCATTGACGAAATGGCAATCATTCCATCATATGATTTTGACACAAGAACTGAGTCAGTCATCAGCCATTGCACTATCTCTGGCAGCAATGAAAAAGACATGCAAGACACAATGGCAACACATGCCATGGTTTTCATGTTATGTGGTTTGACAACAAGATGGAAACAAGTTGTTGCCTACTTCTTCACTGGAAATTCATTCTCAGCTAAAGAAGTGAAAGATATTATCATTAAGATAATTCAAAAGGCAAGTGAATGCAATTTAACAGTTTATAATGTCACTATGGATATGGAAGGGGGCAACCAGGCTGTTCTTCGGGAATTTGGGATCTATTGTAAAGTAATAAGAGAAAATGATGAATTGGGACAGTGTAATGATACTGTGGAAATAGTCAACACCATTCAGCATCCTGTTATTGAGGGTCAGAGACTTACATTTATGCCTGATGTTCCACATGTTTTGAAGAATATCAGGAATCATCTGACTCGTGGACAAACATTTTTCATCCCACAGTATGCCATTGCTGAGTGCAATTTACCTACAAATGCAGTCACAATAAATCACATCAAAAAGCTGGTTAATTATGATTCTTTGCATAATCTAAAGATTGCACCACACCTGAATGAAAAATGCTGTGATCCTGGGCATTTTGAAAAAATAAAAGTGAGCATGGCTAAGAATCTACTATCCAGAAAAACTGGGGCAGCCATTCGCTTTCTTATTCAGGAAAAAGTCCTGCCCAAGAATGCCACAACTACAGCATGGTTTTGTGATCAAGTTGGTCTGTGGTACAACCTGATGACATCACGTTCTTCAACAATGGGTTTCAGTCTCTACACACATGAAAAACATACAGAAGTTGTATCTTTCCTTGAATCAATCATTAAACTTTTTACCCAATTGAAAATAGGATCAGAATCAAATGCCAAGTGGAGGCCTGCGCAAACAGGAACAATTCTAGCAACCAAAACCATTCTTGAACTTCAGAACTGCTTCATTTTGGAAAAACAATACAAGTTCTTTCTGACCAGCTGCTTCACACAAGATTGCACCCTTGCTGGCCAGAGTCGGCCAAAGATCGTATTTTCACGTAAAGGTGCACCTGATTTTTGTATTATTGAAAAGAGAATTCCTTACATAAGTTCACCTAAAGCAATTTCTTACTAATAGTTTTCATTAACACATTATTTTGTTATGCAATCAAAAAATACCTCAACTATCTGCAAATGGGCTCCGAAAAAGTATATAATTGTTGGTTTCCGTTATTATCATGCTAAATTCATGCGGACATAGTCACTGAATGAAAATGTATCTGCAATGAGTATTTTTAATGTTTGTTTACAATTACTCATTACTGTCTATCTAGTTTGCACTAATATTGAGCAGTACAGTTTTCAACAGCCACCGTCAGAAAAATTAAAAAACATGAAACTCTCGTAAAATGTTAATGGTATTTAATGATTATGATTTATCATTATCTTAGACTTGAAAACAGTGCACACTCAGAACAACTAAAAATCATAAATTTGTATTGATAGATAAGAATCCAGTCACATCAACTGGTGCTCGGTTGACATCGGAAATTACAGGTAAAATCGACACTTTATTTACCATGGATTGCATGTTTAACCGTTGATATTAATTTTATGCAACTATCTGAGCATATGCAGGTACCGATGACTTTCAATTCTTCAAAAAAAAATTTCTCACCGACGATTTCAAAATGAGCAATGACGTGCATAAGAAATTGAAAAGGTAAATCTTACTATTTGTGTTTTTTTGATATTCCTTCAATTCCAGTTGAGTTTTTATCCACGCGAAGATATTTTTCTGCTTTATTGTTCAATCTTTCCGTGATTTTTCACATTTGCAGCTTTGATTGGTTTTGTGGAAAATGTGGAACAACGGGTGACCAGATTATATCTCACATGGTCGGGACGGATAACTGATCAAAATGTGAAAAGCTTGGTTGGCATTTCAAAGTACATCGAATTCCGAAAACGACCCGTCAAAGGTGTGGAAGGTTCGACCTCTATCAACAAGACAAGTGGAGCGAATCTGACGATTGGAAAGCGGATGTCTAGTTTAATTTTGATGACGACGCGGAAGACCAAACGCGTGTTGAAAAGTGATGGTTTCTATGGATTCGGTTCGGGCGTGAAGTGATGTGAAGGATTTGGGGTTCATGAGTTGGGAGGAAGGAGAAAGGCACGGTGGATGCGGAGATTGAAGAGCTTTAAAATGGACGGAGAAAAAACTGGTAGTAAGAATGAATTCCGATTGTTTAAATCCCATTCTTTCCCAACAATTTTTCTCAATACATTAAACGTGGAAAATTGTTTGATTTAAATATTCATCATTTTCCATTTAAATTTTTAACTATCCAAGTTCAAATTATAATAAACGAATTAAAGAACCAATTTCAAAGAACGATTGTCAATAAAAACGTACATTTAATTTGATTTTAACGTAATAATTTATATTCCCTAAAGTTCTTATTACTTATCAATAATGTAATAATCCAGTAGTTCAATAATTACGAATATGTAACTTTATTGAGTAAAAAACAAGCTGTAACTAACCATATATCACATAATTGAAAACCTTACATATCTGACCGCTGACGTTCTGATTTCTTTTCTCATAAATGAAACGAGGATAATAGAAAAAGTGAAAATAACCCATCCGTTTTTCTTCGTAAATAATTTTAGTGTACTTAACGATTGAATTGTCGTTACTATACATGTTATTTGTCTATTTCATAATTATAAATGAACCAAGTTGTATGATTTTTGGTTTTTGTTCGATCATTGATAAGCAAAACGTTGTCACTATACATGAATAATAAAGAATAACTTTTTTCCAGTTTTTATTAACTTTTGGTTAGCAATATGATTTAGGTCTCTGGCAATAACTATCATGTTGATGCGTACAGGTTTCTTTAACAAATCAACTTTGGCAAAACCTGGTGAGTGTCATTATGTATCCAAAAATAACAGAAATGTTAGTAAATTGTCTAAACCTAATTCCTTCTTGAAAAACTTATGTTCAACCTTAATTTCAACTCTCGCAAGAATCAAAATGCAACATTATAGAATCACTGCCTGGGTTGTCATTTGTCAAACAAAAGAACACTACTTCAATAATTATACATAACTAATGCATAATTGAGGTTTGTGAACAAATAACTGCCATGACTTAGCTAAGGTATTTAGAAATCAGGCAGAACATTCGTAACTTCGTTCGTTAAAGTCTGCAAGTATGTAAAGTCCTCATTTGTATGTCACAGTTGATTTTGAAAGAAAAATTCGGAGGACGCTATCAAAATGAATCGATGAAAGTTAAAATGGAAAGCATCGAAATACATCGAATTACAATCTAAACCATTGAAAGAAGCAAAGTTTCGAATGCTGTCTAAAATTATAGCGGAAAGAACCGAGGGTAGTTTTGGAACATTGACAATGTTCTGCTTTAAAAATAATATGTACTATGCCTTGACCTGTGCTCAAGCTGGTGTTGTCAATAATTTGGATGACCGTCAACAAGACTTTTGTGGCGGAGTCCAATTTATGGAAATCCAAAAATCTCTAAATGCCACAGTTAACGAAGAAAGCATGAAATACTTTTACAACGGACAACCGATTGTCCGCGTTCCGGATCAAACGAGAGTGGTGTCTAATAAAGAAGTCGATATTATGTACATCGTTATTGGTAGGGAGGAAGATTTTCAGGAGCTTGCTGTAAATAATCAGATGACTCTCAATTTAGATTTGGATATGCAGTGCCATACAGGCCCTCACCACCTGCATTGCATGTGAAACATCCAACTCCAATGTTCTCAAAAGACATCTGAATTGACTACACATCAATCCAAATGCATTTTCGACAATTCTTCGTGCTGGGTGCTTCGTGCTGGTGTGGATATGGTTTCATTAGATTTTCATTCAAAGCAAATGCCTCATCTCCAAGCAGAAAGTAAGGTATAGGCAATAATGTATCTCTTAGCTCTTCAGCTTGTGGGAAATAGCATATGTTTTTAAGGTGACTGTCTTTAAAATTCCTCCATCTGACTGGTTGCCAGGGCTCCAAGATCAAATGAGATGAATTTAGCATTTGCAGCTAGCCAAGAGGACTATTCTAAAATGTTTTTATAGTTAAAGTACTCAGAGGCTGAGTTTGAGGTGCACGCAACTTGATATGTTTACCATCAAAGTGCCAACTGCATGGGGAAAGTGCCATTTGCACTTAAATTCATCAGCAATGTTGCTGTTGTTTGATTGGCTTTAAATACTTTCTTCAGCACATTATAAAAGCTTCACAAACCTCAGGTACAATTTTGAAATAGATGAAACTGATATTCTGAAACTGTACATCAAATCCTGTGAGCATCCTGATGCTAAGAACTTTAATGTTACACACAAGCGATCAAGAACAGATGTAGCATCTCTCATAGTGGTGTTTTTCTTTTCAATGAATGGTGTTAACTTTTCACATAGCTCATCAAACAAAATGGAACCCATCCTTAAAAGTAGTAAAAATTATAATTTGTAAATAAAAGTAAGGAAAATAAGAAAATTTCATTATTAAAAAAAGAACGTAAAATATGAATTGATTGTACAATCCATTGACTAGTTTAATTTTGAAGAGTGCATGAATAAAAAGACTATCACATTTCTTTACTTACCGAAACAAATTTCTAAATTCATCATGGTCAGTCACTCGGATCTTTTGAATTAAATTTTGTGCTAACCCTTGTGCGTATCGGCGCTGCGCAGTTTTCCACGGTTTTACCCACCATCATCGTGACTTTCGTTTTTTTCACTTCGTGCACCATTCATCATCATCATCATGCAGTCAGTCGTAAGCGACGAGGACTGTTCTATGGTTGGATTGAAGCTCTCCAGGCCGGTCTGTTATCAGCCAGTTGCTTCCAGGTTGTCACGTTGATGTCTTTCCTCTTTAGATTTCGTTTCATGACATCTTTGAGTCTGAGTCGAGGTCGGCCTTGGTTTCGTTTCCCTTCTACTAGTTGGCTGTACAATAGCTGGCGTGGTAAACGAGATCTCTCCATACGATGGACATGACCAATCCATCTTAAATTCTTTTGAATCAGCATGTCAGCCATGTGTGGCAAGTCAGTCAGACGGAGAATCTTAGCATTTGCGATCTTGTCCCGCCATGATATCTTCTGAATGTCCCGCAGTTGTCTCATCATATACGCACTCAGTTTCTTCACTTGAAGCCTGTAGATTGTCCATGCCTCTGCTCCATAAAGGAGTGTTGTCAGCACCACCGCCTGATAGACCTTGGCTTTAACTCTGGTCGAGACATGCTTTTGCCATAGCCGATCGTTTAGTTGACTGAACGCTGCACTCGCTCTTCCCATTCTGTTCCTCTTCCTTTTCAATCTTAGCATTGCTGGAGATTGTACTACCCAGGTAGTTGAAGTCTGTGGTCTGGACAAGAGGCTGTCCGTCTATGGTGATTGCACAGGGTTTTGGGGGAGGGAGTAGAAGCTTTACTGGCTGGTAGAGGCACCATTAGAGATGCAATAATAGCTACTGCTTGAGGTTTTTCGGCCTTGGTCAGCGCCATTTTTGCACAAACATTACATTAAAAGTACGTCGTAAAATGAAGTATGGACATGTAACTGTTCATTATTATAATGGGCGCAAT